TACTTTTCTAATAATTTGGCACGCTCAAATCACCGTGCTGATAACAAATATGGCGCCAGTTTTTTTACATTGCGCAGATCAGTGCAGATCAGTGCAAAAATTTCACCGATTGCGCAGTTCAGTGTTGCCAACATTGTGTGAAAATTTTGTATGAATTGATTGGACAGTTTTTGAAATATTAGAAAAAAGTTGTCTCGATAATAATTTGGCACGCATGTTTTATGGATGTTAGTTATCTCCTGTTAATTTCCCTCTGAAAAGTCTCCACTGCCTTTACCGGGTATTGAACTCACACTCTTTGGGTCCTGTAACTGGATCTAACCAACACCTTTATCCACTGTGTCATGTATCCTCAACGCCTTCATCCACTGTGCCATTGAATTTTTAAAAGAAAAGCTTAAATATTAATTCAACACTTAAATGCAGTGATCAGTTTTGAGTTCTTCTGCAGTTTATTAATACCTATTGCATCTACTCTTCCCTAGAGTCCCCCACAGGAGCTAACTTAAATACCGGCCGATAGGGCGGCTTTTAAGCTATTTTATAATAAAACGTGCACTGCAATTTCGGATACAAAAGGAAAATAAACGTTAATCCCCTTTAACTATGAAAAAAACAACAATGGCTAGTATAATATATTAATATATATTTTTAACCTCGCATAATCTGGCAACCATGAATCTGAGCTCAACAAAAATAGTCCCTTGCGTCTAACTTTTCTAGTACTTTTGAATGAGCTATAAATCATTGAAATCGGACCAGTGGGAGCGGAGGGGTTGCTTGGACGCACACATACACTGTACTTTATATGTAAGATGTACCAGCATGAGACTCAAATTCTTATGACGGGTATTTTAAATATAACTATTTTTTTCGGATGTACAAGAATCTATCTTCTCAACGGATTTAAATGTTTATAGCCAAGAAATCCTAAGAGAAATAGGTGTCCCACTCAGATTTATTATTGGTAGGCACAATCTAAAAAAAGAAGAAAAAAAATGATATACAGATAACACCTGGTTGATAGCAGGCAGAGGAAGAAAACTGCAGTATAATGTCGTCAGGGAAATCGAAATGAAAGGATTAACTATCAATTGTAAGAAGACAGAATAGATGGTTATAAGTCGATACCTCCAAAGATACGCTAAAAAGGACGATTGTATGATCAAAATCATTATGTTATCATTAAGAGAACTTTTTGATTATTAAACTATATTTTTGATGTCTTTTAGAACATGTTATGATTAATCAAGAGTGGTCTCCCTTTGTTTTGCTACTCTCCTCTTTGAGAGAGCTATTTCTGTTTACTGGGACTATAAAAGGACACTATACGCGAACCTTGTATTCTCAGTTGAATAAAGCTTTCTTAAAGCCTACACCTGAATACTTTTGTCATTACAGAACCTTCGAAATGTTGTTAAAAATAATTGCTGTTCTTGCATCAGTATTGCAAAGATCAGTATAGAAAATTTTAACTTTTTTTTTTTTTAAGGTGAAGAACATATTGATTTGGAAATTCTTGCAAACATCAAATCATTATCGGGTGTTAAGAAAACTTTCAGGACTTATTCACAAATGAATGAAAATTATTTTAGAAATGTTTCGTCTGTGAACAAAACTTTAGAGAAGTCAATGTTCATATTGTCCTCGGCCCATTTCAATCGGTTTTGAACGTGATTTCACGTCAACGGAGGCTTCCATACAGGTTTGACTGTTGTTGCTATTTCCCTTAGATACCGACACCGAGTACTTTTAGACACAGTAGGATCCCCAATTCGACTGAAAAGCTCTTGGCTGGTAAGTTCAAGGTTCTTCGTGGCCTCTCGTTTAAGTCGTGACAAGAGACGACGTGAAATAACCATCGGCTTGCCTTTATCTGCCCTTTTGCGTACTTGTGTAGGGTCGGCGGTGAACTTTTTCACTGTTTGATGACACCTCCCTATCATTTTAGAAATTTCTAGGGTAGATTTACCTTTTGATTTTTATAAAATTTACCTTTTGATTTTTATAAAATCTTGTAAAAACATTTCTTTAGATGAGTTACTTCCCTTTTATTGGGGTCAAAACACTATGAAAGTATAAATGTACATATTTATAATTAAAATAGCGGTAATATATTTTGGGAAAAGAAATTATTAATTGTCGCAAGATAATTAATAATTTCGGCATTAAATGACCCATAAAGAGTTGATATGCCGCTAACGAAACTAACCAACAAGCAGCTCCCCACTTATATAATTAATATTTATACCAGTTATACGCAGAAATTCTTGTAGAATTTAAATAATATTTTATTTTTTTGTAAAACAGGACCCCCCCGCCCCCGTACAAAAAATCTGCTCTGAATTGTAATATGAAAATTAAAATAAAACTAACTTTTGTGATGTAAGCGAACATTCGTTGCCACTTTGAATTGTCAATGAATACTCGTTGTTATTTTCTTAAGGCCCGTTGTAGTAGAGACTTTGTAATTGCAGATATAACTATAGTAACGCCGTTGAACAATACTGATGTCAGATGCCTTCGAATATCACTCGTATTAATAGCACTTGCTCGATAATACTCGTCCGACAGTATAACCACTTTATTGATCCGAATAGTTAATAGTGTAGAGAAGAGAATAGAGAATAGCAGTCCATATAGTATAGAGGATAGAGTAGAAATAGCGATCCGTATAGTATAGAAGATTGACTAGAAATGCGATAATTAGTCGTCAGCTACTTCCTACATATATGTGTTTCCTCTATGGTCATGGGGTCTACTTAATCCAATAATGGGATCGCCCACCTATGTTCAAACTAAAGTGTCGGTAGTGACGCTTTATTCCTATATAACACTAACACGTTATCTAATTAGAAAAGCTTTTAATTGCATTTATTAATAAAATATATTGGACTATATTTCGTACAAAAAATTTTTTCGATAAAAGAAAGAAAGAAAGAAAGAACTGAATGGTAGCTATGGTCGTTACTGCAAAAGAAAGAAAGAAAGAAAGAAAGAAAGAAAGAAAGAAAGAAAGAAAGAAAGAAAGAACTGAATGACAGTCATGGTCGTTACAGCAACAGAAAGAAAGAAAGAAAGAAAGAAAGAAAGAAAGAAAGAAAGAACTGAATGACAGTCATGGTCGTTACAGCAACAGAAAGAAAGAAAGAAAGAAAGAAAGAAAGAAAGAAAGAAAGAAAGAACTGAATGGCAGTCATGGTCGTTACAGCAACAGAAAGAAAGAAAGAAAGAAAGAAAGAAAGAAAGAAAGAAAGAAAGAAAGAACTGAATGGCAGTCATGGTCGTTACAGCAACTGAAAAAAGAAAGAAAGGAAGAAAGAAAGAAAGAACTGAATGGCAGCCATGGTACTTACAGCAACAGAAAGAAAGAAAGAAAGAAAGAAAGAAAGAAAGAAAGAAAGAAAGAAAGCAAGAAAGAAAGAAAGAACTGAATGACAGTCATGGTCGTTACAGCAACAGAAAGAAAGAAAGAAAGAAAGAAAGAAAGAAAGAAAGAAAGAAAGAAAGAACAGAATGACAGTCATGGTAGTTACAGCAACAGAAAGAAAGAAAGAAAGAAAGAAAGAAAGAAAGAAAGAAAGAAAGAAAGCAAGAAAGAAAGAAAGAACTGAATGACAGTCATGGTCGTTACAGCAAGAGAAAGAAAGAAAGAAAGAAAGAACTGAATGACAGTCATGGTCGTTACAGCAACAGAAAGAAAAAAGAAAGAAAGAAAGAAAGAAAGAAAGAAAGAAACAGAATGACAGTCATGGTAGTTACAGCAACAGAAAGAAAGAAAGAAAAAGAAAGAAAAAGAAAGAAAGAAAGAACTGAATGACAGTCATGGTCGTTACAGCAACAGAAAGAAAGAAAGAAAAGAAAGAACTGAATGACAGTCATGGTCGTTACAGCAACAGAAAGAAAGAAAGAAAGAAAGAACTGAATGACAGTCATGGTAGTTACAGCAACAGAAAGAAAAGAAAGAAAGAAAAAGAAAAGAAAGAAAGAAAGCAAGAAAGAAAGAAAGAACTGAATGACAGTCATGGTAGTTACAGCAACAGAAAGAAAGCAAGAAAGAAAGAAAGAAAGAAAGAAAGCAAGAAAGAAAGAAAGAACTGAATGACAGTCATGGTCGTTACAGCAACAGAAAGAAAGAAAGAAAGAAAGAACTGAATGACAGTCATGGTCGTTACAGCAACAGAAAGAAAGAAAGAAAGAAAGAACTGAATGACAGTCATGGTAGTTACAGCAACAGAAAGAAAGAAAGAAAGAAAGAAAGAAAGAAAGAAAGAAAAAAGAAAGAAAGAAAGCAAGAAAGAAAGAAAGAACTGAATGACAGTCATGGTCGTTACAGCAACAGAAAGAAAGAAAGAAAAAAAGAACTGAATGACAGTCATGGTCGTTACAGCAACAGAAAGAAAAAGAAAGAAAGAAAGAACTGAATGACAGTCATGGTAGTTACAGCAACAGAAAGAAAGAAAGAAAGAAAGAAAGAAAGAAAGAAAGAAAGAAAGAAAGAAAGAAAGAAAGAAAGAACTGAATGACAGTCATGGTCGTTACAGCAACAGAAAGAAAGAAAGAAAGAAAGAAAGAAAGAACTGAATGACAGTCATGGTCGTTACAGCAACAGAAAGAAAGAAAGAAAGAAAGAACTGAATGACAGTCATGGTAGTTACAGCAACAGAAAGAAAGAAAGAAAGAAAGAAAGAAAGAAAGAAAGAAAGAAAGAAAGAAAGAAAGAAAGAACTGAATGACAGTCATGGTAGTTACAGCAACAGAAAGAAAGAAAGAAAGAAAGAACTGAATAACAGTCATGGTAGTTACAGCAACAGAAAGAAAGAAAGAAAGAAAGAAAGAAAGAAAGAAAGAAAGCAAGAAAGAAAGAAAGAACTGAATGACAGTCATGGTCGTTACAGCAACAGAAAGAAAGAAAGAAAGAAAGAACTGAATGACAGTCATGGTCGTTACAGCAACAGAAAGAAAGAAAGAAAGAAAGAACTGAATGACAGTCATGGTAGTTACAGCAACAGAAAGAAAGAAAGAAAGAAAGAAAGAAAGAAAGAAAGAAAGAAAGAAAGAAAGAACTGAATGACAGTCATGGTAGTTACAGCAACAGAAAGAAAGAAAGAAAGAAAGAACTGAATGACAGCCATGGTCGTTACAGCAACAGAAAGAAAGAAAGAAAGAAAGAAAAAGAACTGAATGACAGTCATGGTCGTTACAGCAACAGAAAGAAAGAAAGAAAGAAAGAACTGAATGACAGTCATGGTAGTTACAGCAACAGAAAGAAAGAAAGAAAGAAAGAAAGAAAGAAAGAAAGAAAGAAAGAAAGAAAGAACTGAATGACAGTCATGGTAGTTACAGCAACAGAAAGAAAGAAAGAAAGAAAGAACTGAATGACAGTCATGGTCGTTACAGCAACAGAAAGAAAGAAAGAAAGAAAGAACTGAATGACAGTCATGGTCGTTACAGCAACAGAAAGAAAGAAAGAAAGAAAGAACTGAATGACAGTCATGGTCGTTACAGCAACAGAAAGAAAGAAAGAAAGAAAGAAAGAACTGAATGACAGTCATGGTCGTTACAGCAACAGAAAGAAAGAAAGAAAGAAAGAAAGAAAGAAAGCAAGAAAGAAAGAAAGAACTGAATGACAGTCATGGTCGTTACAGCAACAGAAAGAAAGAAAGAAAGAAAGAACTGAATGACAGTCATGGTCGTTACAGCAACAGAAAAGAAAAGAAAGAAAAAGAAAGAACTGAACTGACAGTCATGGTAGTTACAGCAACAGAAAGAAAGAAAGAAAGAAAGAAAGAAAGAAAGAAAGAAAGAAAGAAAGAAAGAAAGAAAGAAAGAACTGAATGACAGTCATGGTCGTTACAGCAACAGAAAGAAAGAAAGAAAGAAAGAACTGAATGACAGTCATGGTAGTTACAGCAACAGCAACAGAAAGAAAGAAAGAAAAAAGAAAGAAAGAAAAAAGAAAGCAAGAAAGAAAGAAAGAACTGAAAGAACTGAATGACAAGTCATGGTCGTTACAGCAACAGAAAGAAAGAAAGAAAAAAAGAACTGAATGACAGTCATGGTCGTTACAGCAACAGAAAAGAAAGAAAGAAAAGAAAAGAAGAACTGAATGACAGTCATGGTAGTTACAGAAACAGAAAGAAAGAAAGAAAGAAAGAAAGAAAGAAAGAAAGAAAAAACTGAATGACAGTCATGGTCGTTACAGCAACAGAAAGAAAGAAAGAAAGAAAGAACTGAATGACAGTCATGGTCGTCACAGCAACAGAAAGAAAAAAGAAAGAAAAAGAAAGAAAGAAAGAAAGAATGACAGTCATGGTCGTTACAGCAACAGAAAGAAAGAAAGAAAAAAGAAAGAACTGAATGACAGTCATGGTCGTTACAGCAACAGAAAGAAAGAAAGAAAGAACTGAATGACAGTCATGGTCGTTACAGCAACAGAAAGAAAGAAAGAAAGAAAGAAAGAAAAGAAAGAAAGAAAGAAAGCAAAACAGAAAGAAAGAACTGAATGACAGTCATGGTCGTTACAGCAACAGAAAAAAAAAGAAAGAAAGAAAGAACTGAATGACAGTCATGGTCGTTACAGCAACAGAAAGAAAGAAAGAAAAAGAAAGAACTGAATGACAGTCATGGTAGAACTGAATACAGCAACAGAAGAAAGAAAGAAAGAAAGAAAGAAAGAAAGAAAGAAAGAAAGAAAAGAAAGAAAAAAGAAAGAAAGAAAGAAAGAACTGAATGACAGTCATGGTCGTTACAGCAACAGAAAAAAAGAAAGAAAGAAAGAACTGAATGACAGTCATGGTCGTTACAGCAACAGAAAGAAAGAAAGAAAAAAAAAAGAACTGAATGACAGTCATGGTCGTTACAGCAACAGAAAGAAAGAAAGAAAGAAAGAAAGAAAAAAAAGAAAAAGAAAGAAAAGAAAGAAAGAAAGAAAGCAAGAAAGAAAGAAAGAAAAGAAAGAAAGAACAGTCATGGTCGTTACAGCAACAGAAAGAAAGAAAAGAAAGAAAGAACTGAATGACAGTCATGAGTGGTAAAGAAACAGAAAGAAAGAAAGAAAAAGAAAGAAAGAAAGAAAGAAAAGAAAAATGAAAACTGAATGAAAGAAAGAACTGAAAGAAAAACTGAAACAGTCATGGTCGTTACAGCAACAGAAAGAAAGAAAGAAAGAAAGAACTGAATGACAGTCATGGTCGTTACAGCAACAAAAGAAAAGAAAGAAAGAAAGAAAGAAAGAAAGAAAAAAGAAAGAAAAGAACAGAATGACAGTCATGAACAGCAACAGAAAGAAAGAAAGAAAAAAAAGAAAGAAAGAAAGAAAAGAACTGAATGACAGTCATGGTCGTTACAGCAACAAAAGAAAGAAAGAAAGAAAGAAAAAAGAAAGAAAGAAAGAAAGAAAGAAAGAAAGAACTGAATGACAGTCATGGTCGTTACAGCAACAGAAAGAAAGAAAAGAAAAAGAAAGAAAGAAAGAAAAAGAAAGAAAAAGAAAGAAAAAAAAAGAACTGAATGACAGTCATGGTCGTTACAACAACAGAAAGAAAGAAAGAAAGAAAGAAAAAAGAAAGAAAGAAAAGAAAGAAAAGAAAAAGAAAGAAAAGAAATGAATGACGGTCATGAAAAAGACAAGAACAGAAAGAAAGAAAGAAAAAAAGAACTGAATGACAGTCATGGTCGTTACAGCAACAGAAAGAAAGAAAGAAAGAAAGAACTGAATGACAGTCATGGTCGTTACAGCAACAGAAAGAAAAAAACAGAATGAAAGAAATGAATGACACAATGAAACAAAAGAAGAAAAAAGAAAGAAAAAAGAAAGAAAGAAAGAAAGAAAGAAAGAACTGAATGACAGTCATGAAAAGAACATCAACAGAAAGAAAGAAAGAAAGAAAGAAAAGAAAGAAAGAAAGAAAGAAAGAAAAGAAAGAAAAGAACTGAATGACAGTCATGGTCGTTACAGCAACAGAAAGAAAAAGAAAAAAAGAAAGAAAGAAAGAAAGAAAGAAAGAAAGAAAGAAAGAACTGAATGACAGTCATGGTCGTTACAGCAACAGAAAGAAAGAAAGAAAGAAAGAAAAGAAAAAAAAGAAAGAAAAGAAAGAAAGAACTGAATGACAGTCATGGTCGTTAAGCAACAGAAAAGAAAGAAAGAAAGAAAGAACTGAATGACAGTCATGGTCGTTACAGCAACAGAAAGAAAGAAAGAAAGAAAGAACTGAATGACAGTCATGGTCGTTACAGCAACAGAAAGAAAGAAAGAAAGAAAGAACTGAAAGACAATGGTCGAAAGCAACAGAAAGAAAGAAAGAAAGAAAGAACTGAATGACAGTCATGGTCGTTACAGCAACAGAAAGAAAGAAAGAAAGAAAGAACTGAATGACAGTCATAGTAGTTACAACAGAACAGAAAGAAAGAAAGAAAGAAAGAAAAAGAAAGAAAGAAAGAAAAGAAAGAAAAGAAAGAAAAAAGAACTGAATGACAGTCATGGTCGTTACAGCAACAGAAAGAAAAAGAAAGAAATGAATGACAGTCATGGTCGTTACAACAACAGAAAAAGAAAGAAAGAAAAAGAAAGAACTGAATGACAGTCATGGTCGTTACAGCAACAGAAAGAAAGAAAGAAAGAAAGAACTGAATGAAGTCAAAGCAACAGAAAGAAAGAAAGAAGAAAAGAAAGAAAGAAAGAAAAAAGAAAGCAAGAAAAAGAAAGAACTGAATGACAGTCATGGTCGTTACAGCAACAGAAAGAAAGAAAGAAAGAAAGAACTGAATGACAGTCATGGTCGTTACAGCAACAGAAAGAAAGAAAGAAAGAAAGAACTGAATGACAGTCATGGTCGTTACAGCAACAGAAAGAAAGAAAGAAAGAAAGAACTGAATGAAGTCAAATGACAGAAATGAAAGAAACAAAACAGAAAGAAAGAAAGAAAGAAAGAAAGCAAAGAAAGAAAAGAAAAGAACTGAATGACAGTCATGGTCGTTACAGCAACAGAAAGAAAGAAAGAAAGAAAGAACTGAATGACAGTCATGGTCGTTACAGCAACAGAAAGAAAGAAAGAAAGAAGAAAGAAAGAAAAGAATGAAAGAAAGAAAGAAAGAAATGAAGTTAAAAGAAAAAAAAGAAAGAAAAAAAGAAAGAAAGAAAGAAAAGAACTGAATGACAGTCATGGTCGTTACAGCAACAGAAAGAAAAGAAAGAAAGAAAGAAAGAAGAAAGAAAGAAAGAAAGAACTGAATGACAGTCATGGTCGTTACAGCAACAGAAAGAAAGAAAGAAATAAAGAAAGAAAAAAGAAAGAAAGAAAGAAAGAACTGAATGACAGTCATGGTCGTTACAGCAACAGAAAGAAAGAAAGAAAGAAAGAACTGAACTGACAGTCATGGTCGTTACAGCAACAGAAAAAAAAAGAAAGAAAACTGAAGAAAGAAAGAAAGAAAGAAAGCAAGCAAGAAAGAAAGAAAGAACTGAATGACAGTCATGGTCGTTACAGCAACAGAAAGAAAGAAAGAAAGAAAGAACTGAATGACAGTCATGGTCGTTACAGCAACAGAAAGAAAAAGAAAGAAAAGAAAGAACTGAATGACAGTCATGGTCGTTACAGCAACAGAAAGAAAAAAGAAAGAAAGAAAGAACTGAATGACAGTCATGGTAGTTACAACAACAGAAAGAAAGAAAGAAAGAAAGAAAAAAGAAAGAAAGAAAGAAAGAAAGAAAGAAAGCAATAAAAGAAAGAAAGAACTGAATGACAGTCATGGAAAACAGAAAGAAAGAAAGAAAGAAAAAAAAGAACTGAATGACAGTCATGACAGTTACAGCAACAGAAAAAAAAGAAAGAAAGAAAGAAAGAAAGAAAAGAACAGAATGACAGTCATGGTCGTTACAATAACAGAAAGAAAGAAAGAAAGAAAGAAAAGAAAGAAAGAAAGAAAGAAAGAAAGAAAAGAAAGAAAGAAAAACAGTCATGAAACAGAAAGAAATAAAGAAAGAAAGAAAGAAAGAAAGAAAGAAGAAAAAGAAAGAAAGAAAGAACTGAATGACAGTCATGGTCGTTACAGCAACAGAAAAGAAAAAAAAGAAAGAAAGAAAGAAAGAAAGAAAGAAAGAAAGAATGACTGAATGACAGTCATGGTCGTTACAGCAACAGAAAGAAAGAAAGAAAGAAAAGAAAGAAAAGAAAGAAAGAAAGAAAGAACTGAATGACAGTCATGGTCGTTACAGCAACAGAAAAAAAAAGAAAGAAAAGAAAACTGAATGACAGTCATGAATAAACAAACAGAAAGAAAGAAAGAAAGAAAGAAAAAGAAAGAAAGAAAGAACTGAATGACAGTCATGGTCGTCGTTAAAGCAACAGAAAGAAAGAAAAGAAAGAAAGAAAGAAGAACTGAATGACAGTCATGGTAGTTACAGCAACAGAAAGAAAGAAAGAAAGAAAGAAAGAAAGAAAGAAAGAAAGAAAGAAAGAAAGAAAAAGAAAGAAAAGAACTGAATGACAGTCATGGTCGTTACAGCAACAGAAAGAAAGAAAGAAAGAAAGAACTGAATGACAGTCATGGTCGTTACAGCAACAGAAAGAAAGAAAGAAAGAAAGAAAAAGAAAGAAAGAAAAGAAAGAAAGAAAGACAGAACAGAATGACAGTTAAGAAAGAAAGTTACAACAGAAAGAAAGAAAGAAAGAAAGAAAAAAGAAAGAAAGAAAGAAAATGAAATAAAGCAACAGAAAGAACTGAAAGAAAGAACTGAATGACAGTCATGGTCGTTACAGCAACAGAAAGAAAGAAAAGAAAAAAAGAAAAAGAAAGAAAGAACTGAATGACAGTCATGGTCGTTACAGCAACAGAAAAGAAAAAAAAGAAAGAAAGAAAGAAAGAAAGAACAGAAAAGAAAAAAGAAAGAACAGAATGACAGTCATGGTAGTTACAGCAACAGAAAGAAAGAAAGAAAGAAAGAAAGAAAGAAAGAAAGAAAGAAAGCAAGAAAGAAAGAAAGAACTGAATGACAGTCATGGTCGTTACAGCAACAGAAAGAAAGAAAGAAAGAAAGAACTGAATGACAGTCATGGTCGTTACAGCAACAGAAAGAAAGAAAGAAAGAAAGAAAGAAAGAAAGAAAGAAAGAAAGAAAGAAAGAAAGAACTGAATGACAGTCATGGTCGTTACAGCAACAGAAAAGAAAAAAGAAAAAAAAGAAAGAAAGAAAAAAGAAAAGAAAGAAAGAAAGAACTGAATGACAGTCATGGTAGTTACAGCAACAGAAAGAAAGAAAGAAAGAAAGAAAGAAAGAAAGAAAGAAAGAAAGAACAGAATGACAGTCATGGTAGTTACAGCAACAGAAAGAAAGAAAGAAAGAAAGAAAGAAAGAAAGAAAAAAAAAAAAAGAAAGAACTGAATGACAGTCATGGTCGTTACAGCAACAGAAAGAAAGAAAGAAAAGAAAGAAAGAAAGAAAGAAAGAAAGAACTGAATGGCAGTCATGGTGGATTACAGCAACAGAAAAGAAAGAAAGAAAAGAAAGAAAGAAAGAAAGAAAGAAAAGAACAGAATGACAGTCATGGTAGTTACAGCAACAGAAAGAAAGGAAGAAAGAAAGAAAGAAAGAAAGAAAGAAAGAAAGAAAGAAAAGAAAGAAAGAAAGAACAGAATGACAGTCATGGTAACAGTTACAGAAACAAAAAAGAAAGAAAGAAAGAAAGAAAGAAAGAAAGAAAAAAGAAAGAAAGAACTGAATGACAGTCATGGTCGTTACAGCAACAGAAAGAAAGAAAGAAAGAAAGAAAGAAAGAAAGAAAGAAAGAAAGAACTGAATGGCAGTCATGGTCGTTACAGCAACAGAAAGAAAGAAAGAAAGAAAGAAAGAAAGAAAGAACTGAATGGCAGTCATGGTCGTTACAGCAACAGAAAGAAAGAAAGAAAGAAAAAGAAAGAAAGAAAGAAAGAAATCACATGAAAAAAAAGGCGCCATAAAGATAGAAACAGAAAAAAGAAAAAGTTGAATACTGAAAGAAGATAGGGAAAGGAAGTTTTCAAAATATATTTTGAAAATTAGTAAGGGACTTTTGCTTGGCTGTGAAGCCTTCGCGTCTTTAGAAAGCGTTTTTTTTTCTTTCTTTTTTTTTTTTTTTTTTCATTCCTGTATTTCTATTTGTCGCGTTTCTAGAGGTGGGGGCTGCGCAACGAAGAAAGGGGGTCATTGGAACCGGGAGCGTGTGGTCTGGCGTTCACGGAGCAAGTCGCTTCTCACGCACTGGGGGAGGCCCAAACCAATTTTAAACCTGGGGGGTGCCTAGCTGGTAAGGGCAGTGGGTGGGAGTCAGGAAAACAGGAGTAAGGAATTGCCTGGAGGTGAAGAATCTATATAGAAGAGATGAGAGTAAGAAAATGTAGCGAGTGGGGAATGCGAGAATGAGAAAGAGGGAGACAGTGTTGCGAAAGTAGTGAATTAAAGAAAGAGACAGAAGATGAATTTGATTTGAATCGACAAGACAAGTTATGATTCAGATGAAACGGATATTTACACAGAGAATATATAGATAGATGTGAATAGACTTAGATCTGAACAGAATGGGATAGATAGATAGATAGATAGATAGATAGATAGATAGATAATACACTGGCTAAGATAGATAGATAGATAGATAGATAGATAGATCATGAAGAGACTGAGATAGATAGATAGATAGATAGATAGATAGATAGATAGATAGATAGATAGATAGATAGATAGATAGATAGAAACTAAAGAATATAATCATGCATTAAGATACACCGCCACATTCAGAAAATCTAATGATTGCCCACCATACCGAAAAAATTTTACTAAAGGTTAGCCTGGTTGAGCATTGCTACTGAGTAGTGAGTTCAATCCTCACTGAGTAACATTTAAAATTGGACAATAAATAACATAACAAGGGTTGGCATACCGTGAAATCAACCAACCAACCAAAAACGTAAAAAGGTTTCAAAATCTGCAGATATTAAAAAAAAAAAGGATGTATATACGGTTCGAAGATGAAAATCAAGCGTAGAGAGTTTCAGGGAAGCAATAAAACTATTTCAAATAACCTTAATGTCGGAAGGGTTAGAAACGTAACAAAATCAATGAATGGAGGTAATTATAATTCTTAAGGTGTCCCTATAAATGTGTGAAATTACAAATTTATTAAGCTATATGAATAATCGTTACTTTCACGTACATTCAGCCTTTATTGACTAAATTGACTTATTTACTAAACATTTATGATGCCGCGGCATATGGATCAGTTATAACAAATTTAGCATAAAATTTATTTTATTTTGATTATCATTTTCAAATTTTGATTTATTTTATTTCGATTATCATTTTCAAATTTTGATTTATTTTATTTCGATTATCATTTTCAAATTTTGATTTATTTTATTTCGATTATCATTTTCAAATTTTGATTTATTTTATTTCGATTATCATTTTCAAAATTTGATTTATTTTATTTCGATTTTCATTTTCAAATTTTGATTTATTAAATTTCGATTTTGATTTTTAAATTTTGATTTATTTTATTTTGATTATGATTTTAAAAATTTGATTCATTTTATTTTGATTATATTTTTCAAATTTTGATTTATTTTATTTCGATTATCATTTTCAAATTTTCATTTATTTTGATTATCATTTTCAAATTTTGATTTATTTTATTTTAATTATCACTTTCAAATTTTGATTTTTTTTATTTCAATTTTGATTTTCCAATTTTTATTTAATTTTTTTTATTATCATTTTCAAATAACAGAAATTACATCACGTCAGGGCTTTCAACAGCAGCAACAAATGAAATGGATAGCACATGTAAATCAAAGAGAAAATAATGACATAATCAAAATGTTGACGTTCCACACTACTTCAGACAAAAGGTTAGGAAGGAAACCCCCATCAATACTAGAAAGAGCCATAACACTAACAAATAACAGAAACTACATCACTTAAGGACTTTCAATAGCAGCAACAACTGAAATGAATAGCACATATCACTTAAGGACTTTCAACAGAACGTTTGGCATTGTAATGAGGAGTGAATAAAACTGAACATTGAAGTCAATGTGAACTCAGAGGCGACAGACTGTTTCATGCTAGACTCAATCCTCAGGCTTGACGATTACGTCTAGCATGAAACAGTTTCGACTCTATGTTGACTTAAGTGTTGACTATATATTCATTTATATATATATATATATATATATATATATATATATAATATATATATAAAAACATTAAACATTAGGCATATGATTTACATACAAAGAATAGTCACACATAGAATTAATCAACTAGTATTATGCGATTATTGGCGACATCCATCGCCAGAAAACATAATATATGCATTAAAATCCTGTTCATCCATATTTAATATTTAAAAATATTCAAAATTTTTTAAGTGAGAATTTTATTTAAATATTTTTAAATATTAAATATTTAAATAAAATTCTCACTTAAAAAATTTTGAAAAACTTAGCGTTGCGTCTTTGCACGTTCCGAGATCTTACACAACCGTCAATAATAGCAGATATTCAAAAAAACATCTTTCGGTCGACATACAGGTATATCGTCTCAAGTTTTTGATTTTATAAGGAAAAAAAAAACACATGCCTGGTGATGGATAGAAGTCTATCCGTAAGTACTAGCATTTTAACATCGAATAAACTGAAAAACTACAGACAACAAGTTTTTCGTCAAGGATCAAAACTCGCACTATGGATGAACAGGATTTTAATGCATATATTATGTTTTCTAGCGATGGATGTCGCCAATAATCGCATTAATACTTGATTAATTCTATGTGTGATTATTCTTTAATATATCTATATATATATATATATATATATATATATATATATATATATATATATATATATAGCCCTTTTTAAATTAAATGTTACGTACAGTTGAATTGTACTCCATTTTGGTCACATTTTCTCTGGGTATATATTATGCCACTAGGACCCAAAGTAGGATACTGGGAGTGAAAGAGAATGAGAAGGCTTTAAACGGAAGAGGAAACCCAACCATAAACTCATGTTCAAAGGAGTAGGGAGGAGTACGAACTGGACGATAAGCGGAAATGTATACTCTTATATCTATCTCTGTGTGTGTGTATGTTGTTTTGTGTGTGTGTAAAAATTCAGATAACTAAAAATATATCTGTTGAAAGACAACCTGAATAATGTCTATGAGCGTTCTTAAATTTAAAAATCTGAAGAAGACGTTATTTTCACTTCTGTTAATATATATATATATATATATATATATATATATATATATATATATATATATATTTTTCCAACTATATATATATATATATATATATATATATATATATTATATATTTGTAGGTTTCAGCTTTTGGGGGAAAGACTTATCTCGTTCTTTTATTTCCTGTTTTTATATATATATATATATAGAGAGAGAAAACCTGTTCTCTGTCTGCCTTTATCATTCTTAAATAATTTGTCGATGACTATAATTCAACCAACAAGTAAACAAACAAGTTCTCGGAACTTGTGTCATGTCACACACACACACACACATATATATATATATATATATATATATATAATCAGTTTATGTTAAGGACAACAGACAAGTTATGTCTATAATATTTTTAATTTTCTGCTTGTTGGCAGATTAGTTTCCGTTTCACGCTTAGCAATTTTTCAAAATGGGAGTTTGTTTATCTTGCACACTCCCGAGATCGTTCTTTCTACGTTTTTTTTTTGTAAAATGAATGCCGACATTTAGAAATAATTTCATTTCTTTTGTTTATTATACCATTCACATGTTGTTGTTTTTTTTTTATTTTTATGATTTTCAGTTTCTCCCAGAAAAAAAGAATTATATATATACATGTATATAAGCACAGAATTCTACACATAAACATATATACATACGCGTATACATATGCACACGCGTACACACACACACACTACTCCAACACACACACACACACACACGCACAAAGAAAAAAATTAACCTAACACCAATGAATAGCGGATATAATTTTTTTTTTAACTTAATATAAAAATAACGAAAATGAGAAAATTGTCCGTCAATTGATGATAGCTCCTGACGAGTGGACAGAGCGATTGCAAAATGGTTAGTCTACAAAACGCTAGAGTTTGGGTGCTGAATATAATATGAATCAGCTAAGGGACAAATTTTATATTTGCATTAATCCTCTTCTGTCAGGCTATTTTTTTTTTTTTTTTTGTTGTTCTTGGTTTTCTCTTGTGTCTTTCTTTCATACTCTTTTTCTTTTCTCTTTTTTTTCTCGTGAAAAGAAGGTTGTATGTGGTTTTTAATTTTAAATTTCAATAAATCGTCTACTAACTGGTCATTTACTAACGCCTAATGAGATGTGTTGGTACACATCGAAACACGATGGCATTCATGTAGCCATTATTCTGATTTTGCAATATCCTAAAATAAAGAATACAGTTCTACTTTTGTATTGAAGCCTGTGTTAAGTTAATGTTACGAACGTTGGAATGTATATTCGATTCGTTCTCATTTCATTTAGTGTGTATGTATATATATATATATATATATATATATATACTAGCAGTAGAGCCCGGCGTTGCCCGGGGATGTAACAGTAAGAGATAGATCAAGTATCGACCATCATAAAGACTGAAAAATAAAATTAACAAAGATTATTGTTTAAGGTTGACGGACACGCATGTCTTAATTAGTTTTTTTTTTTTTTTTTTTTTTTACGAATTGGTCAAACCCAAACTCAAACAAAAACATTGTTTTCAATCGTTATGAGTCTACCGATTGAATAGAATTTTATTATAAACAATTGTCTTGTAAATGGAATTTTTAAAGCATTCTGAATGTAAAAATAAAGAAAAAAAGTGTGCAAGACAATAGGAAACACTACCTGCCAAAAAAAGTGAAGTTTTGTTGAAATCTGATGAAAAATGTAAGAAATCCGACCCCATATATAAAGGAACACACACACAAACAAACAACCTGGGTTTTTATAATAAGTATAACTCGATATGAGTTGTCCCACTTTCATTATCATGATACCTCTTAATCGTTTTTTTCAAATTGATTTCGTGCAAAAACAATTGTGTTTTTCCAATTTTTGGCGCTGTCAGAACCACCGCAAGGTAATTTTACGTCGTCCTGTGAAGTTTTGTTGAAATCGGTTGAAAAATGTAGGAAATCCGATCCAATATATAAACGTACAGACACACACACACACAACCTGGGTTTTATAATAAGTATGATATATATATATATATATATATATATATATATATGTGTGTGTGTGTGTGTGTGTGTGTGTGTGTGTGTGTGTGTTTGTGCAGCTCGAGGCTGTGTAATGGTTAGCAAGTTGTCTCCCCTAGAACAGTTACGACTAGTGAGTTCGATCCTCACTGGGTGCCCCATACTTTCGGCCTTGTGCCACATCTATGCTACGCTTGGAATATATATATATATATATATATATATATGTGTGTGTGTGTGTGTGCGTGTGTAATCGAATGAAAAAATGGAGAAACTTCCAAAGTAAAATGTACCGTCCCTCGAAGGAAATTTTAACAAATAAAGGTTTTTATGGGTGATGTCAACTATATATATATATATATATATATATATATATATATATATATATATACTGAGTTCATGTCGATTTTTAGTCGTTCATTTTCCAACACGTTAGAATAGGTCAAATTTATCGACAGATATAATATATATATAATTTCCGATTAGAGCACCCTTCAAACTATCGCTTGAGGAAGAAAGGTTAAAATTACTTAATTCCTCTCAATTTTGCATCCCTATGAAAATGGAACATTATAAGGTGCTTTTTAGACACTTGTTTTTTTTTTTTTGGTGGGGGCTGTTTTTGTTTTTTTACTGTGAAGGCAAAAATGCCTCGCAAATAACAAAAAAGATATGTGCTGTGTACGGTGAAGGTGTTTTAGTTGACAGAACTCTACGGAAATGGTTTGCTAACTTTAGAGTTGGTGATTATAACTTTATTGATGAAGAACACTTAAGCAGATCCCTCCACTACAGATGGCGATTAAATGAAGACTGATTGAGAATAACCCGTGTTATACACCGTAGAATTAGCAGAAATGCTAAATTTATCAAAATCCACCATCAATGAGCTCATATTGAAGCTTCGGTACTCAAATCGCTACTATGTTTGGGTACCACGTATACTGAGTGAAAAGAAACTTTAGGATTGCATTTTATCTATGATTTGCTGTATAAACGCAATTAAATTAAGCAAATTGGTTGGGTTGATGAGAAATGAATGGCTTATAACAATGATCAACGAAAAAGATCCAGGACTAACTAACTTTAGCCACTTCAAATCAGGTTTTCATCCGAATGAACTTAAGCTATGCATCTGGTTGAATTGAAAAGTAATCCTGTACTATGACCTTCTGCTAAGTAACCAGTCAATTGATTCTGAAAAGTACTGCTCGCAATTGGACGAATTAAAGGCAGCCATTAAAAAAAACGCCCAGAATTGGCGAACAGGAAAGGCGTTGTTTTCAATCAAGATAATGCTAGACCTCATGTTCCTTTGGCGACCTGGCAAAAACTGTTGAAGCTTGGTTGAGATTTATTACCCCACCCGCCATATTCACCAGCCATTACTCCTTCGGATTTTTATTTATTCAGAACCTAACAAAAAAAACCTCAATGGTAAAAATTTGAATTCTTTGGATGACATAAAAAACATCTTAATGAGTTCTTTGCCGAGAAACCACCAAAATTCTGTGAGGATGGAATTTTTAAGTTGAAGGAAAAACGGAGAAAGTTTGTGCAATAAAATGGCCTAGGTTTAGTTGAATAAATATTTAATGGCATAATTTTGTTTTCCCTTAAAAATCGGCTTTAACTTTCCGGACAACCCATTTGGGGGTGCAATATTAGGGCCTGAAGAAGTTTCTTCTAGGAACGAAACACGTTATGTAGGTCTTTTTTTCGATTTTGTCAATCACTGTTGGTTTGATATATATATATATATATATATATATATATATATATATATATATATATATATATATATATATATAGTTTATGAAAAACTAGGTAATCCGTATGGGTAAACCTAAGGAGGATAAAATCCAGAGAGCTCAATGTAAATCCAGAGCAAATAATTTAAATAAAACAGACCACTTTTAAGGTTCCACGTAATAAATTATTTCACCACAGCCCTTTTAAAAGGACTGCGGATCATCAGACTACTTTTTTTTTTTTTTTTTTTGAAGTAATCCGCAGTCCTTTCAAAAGGGCTGTGGTGAAATAATTTATGACATGGACCCTTAAAGTGGTCTGTTTTTATTTTATATATATATATATATATATATATATATATTGTATCTTCCGTATTCTAATGTCATAGAACTCGCCATGTGATTTTTCAATCACTAACTTGAGAATCAAGATTCATCAGCAATTAAAAATAAGAAAATCGTGAAATTTTTACGGGTATTTATAGTATAAATAAATGATAGAAACTAAACGAAGACTCGCGTTTTTTTTGTTGGTGTTGTTTTTTTTTTTTTTAATAATATTCGAAAATTTATCTTTTAAATTTATCTTCTAAAGGTTCTGCTTCGACATCAATCAACCGACAACTTCTGAGAAAAAGAAATCACTGAAAATGAAAATCACTTACCTTCGAATTTTACGTACACACATCTCTGTCTGTTGTAGCAGGTTCTACTGCATTTTCTCGTCTGTGATGAGGGATGAACATAAGAATGTGTAGTTTGTCGCCCCATTCACAAAAAAGAAAAAGAAGCAAAAAAATAAAAAAGAATAAAATGAATACAAAAAAGACAAAATGTCTGGTGCCTTGCTGCTCATTTCATTGACGCATAATTTGAAATACCATTTTGTAAAAAAAAAAAAAAAAATCGGCTGATTTTAAGAACTCCACCTTTTTTATGATTTTATTAAAAATCGTCTTTTGATAGAAAAACGTTCGCGCAAACTTAAAAATTTAATTTAATTTATTGTGGGGGTGATTATAAATATTTGCATAAAGTTGACGCCAAAGTTCCAAGCAGTTTCTTTTGTTTAATGTTTCGAAAATCTTAGACGCGTCTTTAAACTTTGCTCAGTTCTTTATTTAAAAGACTTATGAAAAAATCAGAAGCTAGCTAGCAAAATGGCGTCCATATGAACTTCTTCTATGTGTCGTGTCCCTTCAGAACGTTGGCGGTCATGACTCTCCAAACTTTCCTGTCTTTTATAGCTCTTAGTAAATTTTCTTTTTTTTTAAATCTCTCCTAAATTCTTTTCTGACATTCATTTAACCAATCTCTGTCCCTCTTGCCTTGCCCAATGTGTCTTGTGAGTGTCAAATTTTCAAAGCCTTCTTTTCTCATTATGTACCCTAGGAATTTCAACTCTTTCTGACGTTAAATCTTAAAGGACCTATTTATTTCCATCTTTAAAACTTGGTCGTTGCTCACATGTTGAGTCCATGGTGTTCTCAACATCCTTCTGTAGAACCACATTTCTGCTGCTTCACGTCACTTCTCCATCTAGGAGGAGATTGTCCAGCATTCACTGTTATATACAAATACTCTTCTCTTTGTTTCTGACGGCATTTTCCTGTTTCTCAATACTTTGATTTGCTTTTAGAAAGCATCTTTCGCTATCCCAATATGTCTTCTGATGTCGATATCGCACTTTCTGTCTCCGGTGAAAACATTTCCCAGATATTTAAATTGTCCTACTTGCTTGAGTTTGATATTACCAATTTGTAATTTGCATGTTGGGCTGTTCCTTTTGCTGACAACCAGTCATTCTGTCTTCTTGCAATTGATGTTTAGTCCTTTCTTCAAGCTTTCCTTCACCGCCTGCTGCAGGACTACTCGTGCTTCCTTTCTGTGTCTGCTATCAACAATGTTTCATTTGCACTATTTACATTATTCGGACTATTGTCCTCATCTTTGTCGCCATATTTATTACAACGTTTCGACCGTTGTACGATCCGGCCTTCTTCAGGGGATTGGAATGTCAACCACCTGAAGAAGGCCGGAGCGTACAACGAAGCGTTTATTCTTCCTAAATATGTTATTCTAATATCCTTCTTAAATATGTCAGGATTATCTAATATCCCTCCTAAGTATTTTATGATTATTCTGATACGCTTCCTCATATGTTATGATTCTTCTAATACCCTTCTTAAATATTTTATGATTATTCTGATACCCTCCCTAAATATGCCATGATTTTTCTTATATCTTTCCTAAATACGTTAGGATTGTTCTAATATCTTTGGTAATATCTTATGATTTATCTAATATCCTCCCTAACTATATTAGGATTATTCTAATATGCTTCCTAAATAGGTTAGGATTATTCTAATACTCTTGCTAAATATTTTATTTTTATTCTAATATCCTTCCTTTTTTCTTTTTTACTGATTACTCAAATAGCGTTCTTAAATATGTTATGATTACTCTATAATCCTTCCTAAATATGTTAGGATTATTCTAATATTCTTTTCAGATATGTCAATGTAGCCTAAATGTTCCAACAGTTATTTGTGTTGTTTTCATCAAACGATTTTGTATCAGGTCATGAAGTTCTATCCGAATTTTAACTTTTTGTTAAAATGAACGAAATTTAAAGAGTATTATATAATGTCCAATGGAGCTGAACATTATTTTTAGGTTTAGATGCATTTAAACTGATCCAATTTTATTTCAGAGAACAATAAAATTAAATTTTGTTTGATTAAAATCCTGCTAACATGGAAGTACCCAAGAGTCATTTGAGGCACATAATGCTTTATGAGTTCAAGAAAGGAAACTCAGCAGCCGAAGCGGCTAGAAACATTCACTCAGTTTATGGGGAGGAATGTGTGAATGAAAGAACTTGCAGAAGATGATTTACAAAATTCAGAGGTGGAGATTTTAACCCTTGAAGATGAAGATCGAACCGGACGTCCAGTTGAGTTTGATGAAAAGCTTCTTGAAGCAGCTCTTGAAGAAAATCCTGCTTTATCAGTTGAGGAATTGGCAGTGGTTCTCAGTTCAAAACATACATCGACAGCTTCAACAGGCACCTATTTTCCAAGTTTAGGAACTTTTCCAAGTTCCTAAACTTAGAAAATGGGTACCTCATGAATTGTCTGAAAACAACCTCAAATCCCGAGTTGACATCTGCCCTTCCCTCCATTCTCGCCAACTTGTTTCACCTTTTTTGGATAGACTTGTGACTGCGACGAAAAATGGATCTTTTATCGAAATGTTAAGCGTCGTAGACAGTGGCTTGGTAAAGGGGAAGGACCCCAGCCACAGCCGAGAAGGGAAATTCATGGGCAAAACATTCTTCTTTCAATCAGGTGGGATCGCTTTGAATTCTTACCACCTAATGCAACAATTAATGCTCAAATATACTGTCAGCAATCAGAGCGTTTGAACCAAGCTTTGAGGAAAAAAAAGAGATGCTCTAGTGAATCGAAAAGAGGTGATGTTTCATCAGGACAATGCGCGACCCCACACAGCAAGAATCACGTCACAAAAGATCGAAGAACTTGGTTGGGAGAAAATTCCTCATCCACCTTATTTTCCCGATCTTGCTCCTTCAGACTACCATTTGTTTCGTAGCTTACAGAATCATTTGGAAGAAACAGCTTTTGTAACACAGGAAGAGGTTAAAACTGACATTTGCGAGTTCTTCGAATCAAAGCCAAAAGAATTTTACAGTAATGGAATTAGTAAGCTTGTTAATAGATGGAAGGAAGTCATAGATAATCAGGGAAAATACATTGTTGATTGAATCTGTAATTAAATGTAACATTTGGTCACTTGTTTTCTTTATTCAAAATTCGGACAGAACTTATGGGATGATCTGATATGATCTATAAAATATGGGTAGACATGTTTTGCATTTTATTGTCTTTCTGATTTAAACCAATTTCCAGATTTTTGCTTAGGTGTGACTTTTCAAAATTCCTTTTTTGCGAAATTTTGCTCTTAAATTTTATTCTTCTCTTCTTGTATGTGCAGTTTCCCTTCAGAATCTGGATGATCATTGTTCTATGCAATTTCCTGTCCTTCATGGCCCTTAATAAATTTTGTGTTTTTGTTATCTCTCCTAAACCCCGTTCACCATCCATTTATTCATGCCCTCTAAGCAGGCTATGGTTTTTTTCCTCTGTCCCATTTGCCTTCAATCTGTCCTGTGGGTATCAGATTTTCCAAGCTTTCTGTCCGCATTATGTACCATCGAAATTTCAATTGTCTCTTCCTGATGTTAAGAATAAGTTTCTTTTTTGTTCCCATTTTCTCTAAAACCTCGTCGTTGCTCACCCGTTCCGTCCATGGCGTTCCGGGTATGACGATAAACTACATCCGCGTCCTGGGTATGACGATAAAGTACGTCAACGTCCTGGTTATGACGATAAACTACATCCGCGTCCTAGGTATGACAATAAACTACATCCGCGTCCTGGGTATGACAATAAACTACGTCAACGTCCTGGGTATGAAGATAAACTACATCCATGTCCTGGGTATAACAATAAACTACACCCGCGTCCTGGATATGACAATAAACTACATCCACTTCCCGGGTATGACGATAAACTACATCCGCGTCCTAGGTATGACAATAAACTACATCCGCGTCCTAGGTATGACAATAAACTACATCCGCGTCCTGGGTATGACGATAAACTACATCCGCGCCCAGGGTAAGAAGATAAACTACGTCCAACAGCATGGCCTCTGATCAGGAGGTTTTGAGGAGCATAGAACCACTTCTTAATTGCTGGTGTTTCCAGGTCCAACCTGACCTGGGGTGGTAGCACCTGTTAGGGTCCAATCTATGGGCAAATAGTTAATCCCGAAACTGAGGTAAAAAGCATTATAAAAGTGTAAAAATAGGTTTTAATACCAGAAATACTTTGTAAAAAATTATTACCAGAAATAATTTTTTTAAGAAAAAATCTATTACCAGCAATATATTTTTGGGAAAATAAAACTATTACCAGCAATATATTTTTGGAAAAAAACTGTTACCAGCAATATATTTTTGAAAAGAAGAAGAAAAAAAATTACCAGCAATACATGTTTTAAAATAATATTACCAGCTATACATTTTTGAGGAAAAAAATATTACCAGAAATAGATTTTTGACAAAACAAAATATTACCAAACCCCCAAAAAATTAAATAACCCATTGAGGTTGATATGCCGTAAAACACAACAAACCAAATCATTCCGTACATGTTATCTTCAATATCCTTTTGTAGAATGACTTTTCTGTTCCATCATATCTCGTCTTCATCTTTGAGGAAATTGTACAGCATTCACTGCTATATTGGAAGATAGATATCACGTAACAGTTCAGTGCTCTTTTCTTTGTTTCTATCGAAATTTTCCTGTTTCTTAATACTCTGCTTATTTTTTGGAAAGCATCTTTAGCAAACCTAATGTACCTTCGGATTTCAGTGTCGCACTTTACGTCTTCTGTTAAAACACTTCCCAGATATTTAAATTTTTGTACTTGCTTGATTCTGGTATCCCCCGACTTGCAATTTACATTTTGGGATCATTCTTTTGTTAACAACCATTCAATCTGTCTTCTTGCTGTTGGTATGCATCCTTTTCTTCTCGATTTCCTTCTGTGTCTTCTGTAAGTCAAGCTAAATATATACACGAGTATCTTGCAAGGTAATATGATCTGCTTTTTTTTACACAAAAAATAGTGAGGTCTTTATATACATAGGTCTTTTTTTTTTTAAGAGTTTAATAATCATGCATTTTTCAGTGACCAGTTGCGTTATACAGAGGTAATTCTTTTTTGGAGGGGTTAAAATCCATGCAAAAAATTGACGTCTAATACACAAGTACATACTATAATTCGAAATGTAAATAAAAAGAAATAACCCAATGAAATTTTCTGTTAATAATTAAAGAAAGACTGAATTCTTTATTAAAGTATTTGGCTGACGCAAAGCCTCTATATGCAGCACTCGGTGAGGAACTCATTTCAGCGCTTCCTGCATCAAATCTGTAACTACATCAACCTAATAAGAAAGTTTGGCTGGAAAAACTTCTGAGATCATAGAAAGAATGCAAATATATTTCGATGACTGAATAATGATACGAAGAATTGATATGAGTAAATTATCTTTGTTTATTTAACGACTTATTAACCTTTTACAGTTTATTTAAAGCCAGAATTTTTTAGATTGTAAGAATTTGAGCGGGGGTGGGGAGGAGATAGTAATAATTTACTGATACAAGTTCTACTAATTAACCCATAGTTGGGGGAAGATTATATGCATCCATACCATTACCATGGAGTATTGTCCTACTACCTATTTGTGCGTAAGTGAATGTAACGACCCTGACTGGAATTGAAACTCGGCCTTCCGATTTCCAATTGCGGGTCGTTATCCATTACCCACCACCCGCACATCTAAGTTTACAGCACCTGGTATTCCCAGGCGGTCACCCATCTAGGTATTGACCAGGTTAGACGTTGCTTAACTTCAATGATCGTACGAGAACCGGTGTTTCAGCGTGACATGGCTGCAAGACTCTAACAATGCTGGAAAATTTTACCTCTCTATCTGTCTGTCTGTCTCTGTGTCTGTCTCTGTCTGTCTGTTACGCTCTCTCTCTCTCTCTCTCTGTCTCTCTCTGACTGTCTGGCTCTCTGTCTCTCGCTGTCTTTCTTTCTCTGTCTCTCTCTGTCTCTCTGTCTGTCTGTATTTCTGTCTGTCTGTCTGTCTGTCTGTCTCTCTCTGTCTCTATCACTCTCTCTGTCTCTCTGTCTGTCTGTCTGTCTCTCTCTCTGTCTCTGTCTCTCTCTCTCTCTCTCTGTCTTTCTGTCTGTCTCTCTCTCTCTGTCTCTGTCTGTCTGTCTCTCTCTGTCTCTCTCTGTCTGTCTGTCTGTCGGTCTGTCTCGCTCTCTCTCATGACGAGTATTCTCGTCTTAGTGGAGTTATGGTTATTCTACATTTCGAATCCTAATTTTCAAGTCGGGCAAGCCATTACCATTTGAAATATTGACGCAACATCATCTTCCTCGCCTTTATTTCGAATTTTACTGTGCTAAGCCAAGTAAATATCTATTTGGGGTCTGTTGTAAAGATTGTCTGTTCGATACCTGGGCGGGAAAGCCAGGACTTTGGACACTGTCTTGAAAAAGCAGAAACGCACTTTACCCATCATCTACAGCTAAACTTGTGTCGCATTAAATTAAATCTAGTAAACATTATAACGGTCATGTCTATGTCACTGATACCAGAGGCTGGGGTTCGAACCCAGTTAAAAAAACAAAAACAAAAAAAAACGGGGGTTTTGAATGCTGATTTTCAACTCAGTCAAAATGTCTCCGCAAATTGCTTCAGCACAGTCTTCTTTTCTTCAGTCTTCAGCCAGGGTACTAGTTCAACCGGGCTCTAAGATTAATAATTTATACTTTGTTTTAGTAGTTTCAATCAAGGCGATAATGTTACTAAGACGCAAGGGGTTCACAGGGAGTAAACGGGAATAAGAAAACTTTACTGTGGAGGACTGAGGAAAGAACAAAGAAAGAACGGGGTCAAAGAAGACATAAGATGGCGATTGACGTTGCATTTAAATGTTTGAAGATTGTAGTTATCAGGGAAGCAAGAAACCGGAAAGGAGTTGCCCGAGTGAGAATTTCAAGAAACAAAAATGGCGGTTGCATCTAGCTAATTGAACAGTAAAACGGTGGGACTTAATTACCAATCTAGTAGCGCACTTCATCTAGTCGAGTCAGAAGTAATAGTTTCAGTGATATATGCTGATATCTGAGACGGTGGCCGAGGAAACCTAGCCAAATTTTTACATGTTCCAACATAAAACGTGACCTTGGATCGTGTCTAGAGGCTATGCGCTGTCCCAGATTAAAAAAAAAGAAATGGAAAGGGTCACATTTTACCCTTGACACGAGCTTAGATCTGAAACTCTTTATTGTGTTTTTCAATTGAATAAAAAATTACTTTGAATTCTAGCGAAGGATTTTGTTGTTAGTTTTAGCAAAGACAAATTATTAATTTTAATTTAAAAAGAAAAAGAAAATAATAAACGAAAAAAAGGCCAAAATGCAATAAAGATAAAAGCAAAAGATTTAAATATAAACAATGTTTGACGGTATCGTGAAATACACCGAAATTCAGAGGCTTTGAAAGAGAAGATCACAAGGTAAAGAACATAATATTTATTTAAAAGCACTTTGATGTTTCCACAGAACAAAATGTTTTAAAATATAAAACAATATATTATATTATGTGTATGTGTTTGAGTTATATAGGTTGCACCCATGTTTGCTAAAAATGAGAATACTTGATGGAAAAATGCCACAAAATTTAATAAAAGCAAAGTTTTATCGTCAAAATGTTTTCTTATTATTAAGAGAAAAAGTTGTTTTGTTTTTATATAAAAAAAAAACACTAATTTTTAATCCTTGATAGGACTTTCAAAATTTCGGGTAAATTTTTTTTTTTCTAGCGTCAACTATGTACCATGACATTGGACGTGTAATGATGAGCGATTTTCGCTGTGAAAAGCTCATTGATATGGAAAATCTTGCAAAAATCAGATAATTGATGGATTTTAATGAAAATTTCAGGAGTTATTCGTAAAACGTTTCATTTTTTAATCTGTTAGCTACCACTTATTTAATTTCATGAAATTTGAAGAAATTCTGTTTTTTCTTTTTGTAGAGTTTATATTAGCTACAGTGTAACCCGGATATAAGAGACTTCTTCTTCGGTCCCGACAACTCTCTTATATCCGGGTTACACTGTATAACGACAATTCCTTGAAGAATTTAAATCATCAAATTCTTTTGTTCAAACATGACTAACGGTTAGAGAAAATGTGCTCTGAATGGCAAAATATAAAAATGCAATAAAACTAACATATTATTTAATTAGAAAAAATTTGATTGTTTTTATGTGTAAAATATATTAGATATATTTATGTTACAAAATGTTTTTTCGATGAATAAAATTTTTTTCGATGAAAATATTTTTTTTTAAGAATTGTTTTTGATTTCTTAAACTTTTAATTAGAATAATGTAAAAACTTTTAAAATTCTGTATTAATTTGTAGGGAAGAAGATAAGAAATCATTAATTAAAAAAAAAAAAGGAAAGAGAAAAGAAAAAGAAAAGGAAATTAACCCTTCTACCCACTAATTTTTCTTTATATAAATCCTTTTTACCTTTTATGGAAAATTTTCCAAAAACAGAAAGTGAAGTGGTGTTCCATTAATCGCAATTTTAAATAAAATCGATTAGTATTATCATTGTTAGCCATCTGAAGAAACGTTTGATTTTAACGTTGAAACAAAACGTACAGTTTTATAGTGGATATTTACATGTTCTAATGTAACATTGTACAGTGTAACCCGGATATAAAAGGGTTGTCGGGACCGGAGAAGAAGTCTCTTATATCCGGGTTTCTCTTATATCCGGATTTGGTTTATTTTGTTCAGGTAAGTATGGGAACACTTTGGGACTAGAGAAAATCTCTCTTATATCCGGGTTTCTCTTATATCCGGGTTTCTTATATCCGGGTTACACTGCATAATAAATATTTATTGCTCTACTTTAGTATTCAGCGCTGTTTGAAGTTAATGTTTGGAACGTTGAAATTTTATTCTTCGTTCTATAATATTTGGATATCTACAGTGTAACCCGGATATAAGAGGCCCGGATATAAGAGACCCGGATATAAGAGAAACCCGGATATAAGAGAGATTTTCTCTGGTCCTAAATTAGAGCCTGTGTTAATGTATATAAAACAGACCAAATTCGGATATAAGAGAAACCCGGATATAAGAGACTTCTTCTCCGGTCCCGACAACTCTCTTATATATGCCAGTAGATTACATTCAAATAAATACATTTAAAGAGCATTAGGTAGATAGTTTGATTTACAATCGCCTATGCACATAAAAGCACCATACACACACACACACGCACAGACCTACTGAGAGAGAGTGATAGAGAGAAAGAAAGAATGAGAGAGACACTCGCCAACGCGCCCATGCACCCATTGCATTGGCAGATATACAGGTAGAGTCTACATGATATAGACAGATTTATAATCGCCCACGCGCACATATACACTGTGCGCTTATATATATATATATATATATATATATATATATATATATATATAGAGAGAGAGAGAGAGAGAGAGAGGAGAGGAGAGAGGAGGGCAGGCAGGCAGATAGAGATAGATAATGAATAGAAATAAGATAGATATGAACAGACTGAGATAGATAGATAGATAGATAGATAGATAGATAGATAGATAGATAGATAGATCTATCTATCTATCTATCTATTTGAATGCGTTTCTCTTTTATTCTATTGATTTTTTGTATGTCTAACACAATTTTTTTAAAAAAAAAACCTTTCGCTTCCTTTGTAAACATCCCGAAGGTTTCTACGAATTAGTTTTATACCAGAGAATCACAGATGGTTAATGTGAGCATTAGGGGTACTGTTAATGGTGCTTAATTGAAACCAGTCGCCGTCCAAAGTAGCAACACCCACGCACGATAGATTGATAGATATTTCGATGGAAACCAACTCTTTGATTTGGGCGCCGAAAAAAAATGATCAGCCTGTGATTTCTGCAATGTGCTAACCGACCTGGCACCAATCGACTTGTCTTTTATGTATAGCTTCTAAGCTTTTACTCGTTTCTAACCATTTTTTTTTATCTTCTCGGTGAAGCGGGATAGTGGGTGGTGTGTAGTTTCTTTTGTTATTCTTCTCTGAGAGTTTTCAAATTTTTCTATTCATGCATGCAAAATTTTTCAGCAACTTCCCAAACTTATGTCAGCTCAGTGGTTAAAACGCAGGCATAAAAAGCCGATGAGAGTTGCGCTTGGTCCTAAACGTCTTTTATTATGTAGCGTTCGTTCGCTTGCTAACCGTCAAACCAACGACGTGACAGGGGACAACGTTGCAATAGAGCCCAACACCCTTAATCCGGCACCCTGTGGCAAATTCCATAGTCCGTATTTTTTTTTTGTGCTTTTTTTTTAAAAATCAGTCGTTATTAGTTTGTTGAGCGGCTACAAGGTCACCACCACACGCTGCTTACAACTTTTCACGGGAGCCGACAGCAGTAGAATGTTTTGGCAATACTGTCTTGCTTACTTCGTATACAGTGTAACCCGGATATAAGAGAGTTGTCGGGACCGGAGAAGAAGTCTCTTATATCCGGGTTTCTCTTATATACGGGTTTGGTCTATTTTGTTTAGGTAAGTATGGGAACACTTTGGGACCAGAAAAAAATCTCTCTTATATCCGGGTTTCTCTTATATCCGGGTCTCTTATATCCGGGTTACACTGTATATAGCTACATAATTTACTCATTTAAAAGAGTAAGTATATATATTTTTTCGTTTTATTTTTTTTTTCAGCCTTTGTAATGGCTGAAACAATAAAAAGCTTGTTTGGAAGCATTTACTTGTTGTTTCATTTCCCGTTTTAAGCATTGTTCTACCTTTGATGTCTCAACAATATATATGTGGAATAAACTTAGGGGTGATTTTGTAATCCAAAATTTTCCGTGTTCTTGGTCTCAAGGGTGCCGGATTAAAATGATCGGACTGTATTTCCTATGCCGATTTTTTCTCTGTCTATGGCAGCATTTTTTAAAAACGATTTCAATGCACAAACGCATGATGTTCTATACTACAGGCCTACTTATTGTCCAACTAAGGACCACAACTGCAGGATGATCTTTAAAGCTCTTAATTTCAGTTTTGATTGGCTGTTGTTCGCTGCCGCAGTCAGCTTAAGAAATTCTAGCCTTTTTACTTGAATAACTTTAGGATATATCTAGCTGAAATTCTGGGACGAGCAGTTATTATTATTGACATTATTTTCAGGTTCGTGAATTTAGTGGCATAATAAATGTTAGTCCAATCCCTGGACGTACAGTGTTACTCAGACTCAGAGGGAATGTGACGAGCAATACACATAGTGGCATAATAAATGTGAATCCAATCCTTGGACCGTATAGTGTTACTCGGACTCAGAGGAAACGTGACGAGCCCAATAACTTAGTGGCATAATAAAGTGAGTCAATCCCTGGACCGTACAGTATTACTCGGACTCAGAGGAAACGTGACGAGCAATACACTTAGTGGCATAATAAATGTGAACCCAATCCCTGGACGTACAGTGTTACTCAGACTCAGAGGGAACGTGACGAGCAATACACTTAGTGGCATAATAAATGTGAATCCAATCCTTGGACCGTATAGTGTTACTCGGACTCAGAGGAAACGTGACGAGCAATAACTTAGTGGCATAATAAAAGTGAGTCCAATCCCTGGACCGTACAGTATTACTCGGACTCAGAGGAAACGTGACGAGCAATACACTTAGTGGCATAATAAATGTGAACCCTATCCCTGGACCGTACAGTGTTACTCGGACTCAGAGGAAACGGGACGAGCAGTAACTGAGCAGTACTAAAAATAACAGCTAGACGAAATCCCTATACATGGGCAGTGTAACGAGGACAGTTTATTTCCATAGATTAAATAAAGGGTTCATTTCAGAATTCCTTGTAGGTGACACAGATCGATATACACTGGGGGACACAACTTCCGAAACGTTGTAATAACAACAACAAAGATGAGGACAATAGTTAGTAAATAGAGTAAATAATTTAACTTACTTAATTGAACTACGTATAAGATTTATTTTTATTGTCTAGAGATTTCAACTGTCCCATTCTAATGTTAAGTATAGGTGTCCATTTTGTTTCCATTTTCTCTAAAACCTCGTCCTTACTCACGTGTTCCGTTCATGGTAGTCTCACCATCCTTCTGTAGAACGACATCTCTCTTAACTCTGTTCTCTTCATCTGAGAAAAGATGTTCCAGCATCAATTCCTATATCGGAGAACTGATATTAGATAACAGTTCTACGCTCTTTTCTTTGCATCTGACGAAATTTTCCAGTTTCTTAAAACTTCGGACTTCAATGTTGATCATTTTAGCCTCAGTTAAAACACTTCCCAGAGATTTAAATTGTTTTACTTGTTTGATTTTGATCTCTTGCGCGTTGGGATTTTCCTTTTGCGGACAAACATGCGTTCCGTCTTCTAGTAATTGATGCTTAGTCCTTTCTTCTCGCTTTCTTTCTCTACCTTCTGTAGCCGTTCTTGTAGTTTCCTTTCTGTGTCCGCTATCAACACTTTGTCACCTATTTACATTATTCGGACTGTTGTCCTTATCTCTATTGTATCTATAAAAAGAATACCCGCTCGGCCCGGTGGCTAGGATCAAAGTGTAGTATCTGCCCTTTGTGAGCTGCCGGGTCGGGTGTCTGTCGAACTCTCTGCTTGCAGAGAGGAACCCGGACGAAGCTCCGCCGAAGGGTAGGGTTTCGTTGGGGGAGATTGACGGAACTAGCCCGCTTGGACGGGTTTGGATGGTTATTTATTTTTGGCTGGGCCTACGGGCTCAGAGATACCCACATTAAAAAGGCCTTGTGCCACATTCGATCCCCGTGGGTGGATTGATAAATACCATCTCTATTGTCATATTCACGATGTTTCGGACGTTATATGCTCCGGCCTTCTTCAGGTGATGTACGTTGGAATTTCGAACAAAAACCCTTTATTTAGCCACTGGGATAGATTGTTCTAGTTCCATGTGTCTTGCTTTCTCTGGGTGTTTTAATTTCAGCTATTTCCCTGTAGTAACTCACCTCTCCAAGTTTTTCTTCCCTTTGCTGTGGCTAGCTATTAAACTCACAACTCAAGGATACATAGCCGAGTAGATAAATGCGTTGTTTAAAGTGATCCAATGATTGGCCCAAACAGATGCGGGGGATTTCAAAGTCGTCTGGAAGACGTGGTTGAAGCCAATCGTGATTTTATTGAATAAATTTACTTTTTAGTATTTCAAGATATTTTTGTGTAAATTTGGTAAATATATTTGTTAAAATGAAATGTCGGTGTTATTTTAATTTTTACGTCACTTAGACGACATTTTATCCATTTCGGCCTGTATGTGTGTGTGTTTTTCGCCGTTTTTGTCCAACTTTGACAATCGCCAGGTACAGGAGACTCAGGCTTATACAAAATGCTGAGGAACAAATATATATTTATTATTAATATCGTTAGATAGATAGATAGATAGATAGATAGATAGATAGATAGATAGATAGATAGATAGATATGAAGAAACTGCACACACGCACATAAAAACACACACATATAGATGAATAGATCAAAGATAGATAGATAGATAGATAGATAGATAGATAGATAGATAGATAGATAGATAATGAACAGACTGGGATAGATAGATAGATAGATAGATAGATAGATAGATAGATAGATAGATAGATAGATAGATATGAAGAAACTGCACACACGCACATAAAAACACACACATATAGATGAATAGATCAAAGATAGATAGATAGATAGATAGATAGATAGATAGATAGATAGATAGATAGATAGATCTAATATAGATAAATAGATAATGAATAGATCTAATACAGGTAGATAATGAATAAATCTAAGATAGATATGAAGAAACTAAATAGATAATGAACAGAACTTGTATAGATAGATAGATAGATATGAAGAAACTGCGCATACGCACACACACATAAAAACACACACACATATAGATGAACAGAACTAAGATAGATACCTAGATAGATACATAATGAACATAGATAGATAGATAGATAGATAGATAGATAGATAGATAATAAACAGAATTTAGATAGATAGATAGATAGATAGATAGATAGATATGTAGAAACTGCACACACGCACATAGACACAAAAACACACACGTATATAGATGAACAGATCAGAAATCGATAGATAGATAATGAACACATCCAATATAGATAGATAGATAATGAATAGATCTAATATAGACAGATTTATAATGAACAGATCTAATATATACAGATAATGAATAAATCAAAGATAGATAGATAAATGCCTATTTATGCATACACATGCATAGAGGTAACTTTACAGACAGATTTCAGTAGGCAAGAGAGAGAGAGAGAGAGTACTTTAATATTTTTGAAATAAAAGATATTGTCAAAAAATATCTTAATGATTATATCAAAATATTAAATCTCAAAATATTAAACCTCTATTGTAGCTAACATGCTGCATATACATCGTCAGGGAAACTGTTGTTACTCGTATCGGGGTTTTTTCTTTGGGCTTCAGACCTCCATCTGTGCGATTTTTTTTTGTCGGCAGAAGTTCATGTTTGTAGCTCTTTCTTTTTTTAAAATCTTTTTTCCCCCTCGAGATTGATTTGATTAGCAAATCAAAAATTCGAGGGTTTTTCAAAACGAGTCTAGTTATCTATATTTTTATATATATATATATATATATATATATATATATATATATATATATATATATATGTGTGTGTGTATATGAGTGCCTGTGTATTCGTGTGTGTTCTGGTGTATAAGTGTGTATGTGCTTGTGTCTGTGTACAGGTGCATTAGTGTGGGTGTGCAGGTGTATGAATGTGTGTGTGTGTGCTAGTGTATGAATGTGTGTGTGTTTTGGTGGATGTGTTTGTGCGGGTGTATGAGTGCGCGCGCATGTGTGCGCGCGTGTGTGTGTGTGCTCGGGCCCCACATATTGTGGTAATTACTATTGAATACATTTCACCGACCGTCAAACATTGAATTGTGAATTGGATTGTAAATTCCACCATCGAAGGAAGATAATCTGAACAAAAGATGATATGAATATTCTATGCGCTCTAATGAGTGCATTTTCGTATGTCGATTATTTTTGTGTATACATTTAAATATATCAAAATCCAGTGGTATACTCTACTTCGTTTGTACATTTGAACAGAAGCCCGTCCAAACGCAACATATTCATTTGTACCCAGGCAGCTAGGTCAATCTGTTACTAGTTGTCTAAACCTAGAATCCTCAATACGCATACATTAAAAAAAAAAAACACTGTATGGCCGTTTCGTTCTTTTTGGGACTCATCAGCAGTGCGCATCTTCTACCGACTCTAAAAATTGATACGACGCAAGCATTATACCATCTAGAGATGATATATTATTATTATGAAAATTATACAAATCCCCAAATTACTGATCGGTTATTTAAACCAATGCTAGACCCAGATTCTAATACTCTGAATTGTGCGGCTCGTTAAAGAAATTCGTTGATCTTGGGGCCAGTCCTCTGGGTTACGCATGCTTGAATAAGTATCGCCATCGGAAATAGGACGAGCTGCCTTATATTGTGCTTAATAGCTTAGTTTCCTCTTCGCTGGCCCGGTGATGCTTGCGTCGTATCGTAAAGACCCGGCTTCGATCCTCCGAGTTGGTAGAGTATGCGCACTGCTAATTTGTCTCAAAAAGGACATAAGGGCCGTCCAGTGCCTTTCTGCATGTGTTTACTTTGAGGATTCTACGTGTAGACACGATGAATTATTCTGAATATATATTCATCCACAGACAGACTATTTCGCTGTATCACGGCTCATCAGTGTGGCTAGACGTCCGTTTGCCTTTAGCTAGGAGATATATATATATATATATATATATATTAAAAGACATTTTTATACATTGTTTTTATAGATACAAATATTGAAGTAAATGCTCTGTTTATAACAAACAGTATTAAACAACATTTAACGACCTGAATGTCCGAGAAATTTTCACAGAAAATATTCGTCTTCCAACAGGATTCGAACCTGTATCCTATACGGAACCGTCATTTAGCTTGACGTGCCTTTACCGATTTGGCCACAGACGTGCGTTTGGTTAGCAAGGTCGAATTTACTGTATTTAAACTTCAATCTTCCATGAATCTCTCACGTACATTCATATCTGCTCATGGCGTATCAAATGTAAACAAATGACGTCACACATTATGAAATGGACAATGTTTTAAAATAATTAAATTAAATTAAAAATAATTAAAATAAATTAAATAAAAATTATATAAAATAAATTAAAATTAAAAATAATTTAAATAATTTAAACATGTCTTAAAATAATTGTCGGGCTTTGTCCATTTCATAATATATATATATATATATATATATATATATATATATATATATATATATATATATATATATATAAAAGTAAAGAAGACGACTGACAAGGTACTGCGATTAAGCTTTTAATTTAATTTTTTCTCAAGGACGACGATAATGATAATAGCTTGATGATGGCTAAAAGAATAGCCGAAAGCGTTCAGATATGAAGACCATTTGGACAGTTTTTACACATTTCGTGTCCAGAAAAGAAAACACTTGTACGAACACAAGAAAATTAAATAAAAAGTTTAATCGCAGTAGCTTGTCTGTCGTCTTTCCGGAAAATTGTAGAAAAAAAGGATTTCGGCCCAAATAAACAACACACACACACACACACACACACACACACACACACACACACACATTACCCACCAAACGAAAATAAAATGTAAGAACGCTGGAAAAGGTAAATAAAAAATTAATTAAATTTTCTTTACCTGTCATATTTTACGAAAGATATATATATATATATATATATATATATATCGTAACCCGGATATAAGAGAGTTGTCGGGACCGGAGAAGAAGTCTCTTATATCCGGGTTTCTCTTATATCCGGGTTTGGTCTATTATATACACATTAACACAGGCTCTAATTTGGGACCAGATAAAATCTATCTTATATCCGGGTCTCTTATATCCGGGATACACTACATATATATATATATATATATATATATATATATATATATATATATATATATATATGGGAGGTACAACACCAAGTAGTGACAGTTGATGGTTGAACGCAATCTTCAGGCCATGTGTGTTGTTTTATATTTACACATACTGATATTGAGCACTTTTACCCAGAAATATATCATGCCTCAAAACTCTCTCTCTCTCTCTCTCTCTATATATATATATATATATATATATATATATATATATATATATATATACGAACTGGCTTTGTGTGTTTCCTTAAACAGTGACATTTTTGTGCCTAAGTGTGTTCCATCTGTGTGTCCAGAAAAAGACACCCTGTTTTTCTCCATTCAATGTCTGTTGTATCTACGACCGTCTGTCGGCATGTTCCTTGTTCCTTCCTTGGTCAAATTGTGACGAGATTTCTTTCCCCGCCCATGTCCCCATCCAAGCGTATTCGTCTTTTCATCTTACCCGATATACCCGGAAAAGCATCTGAAAAACTTTCCCCTTACCAAAGCCATTTCGGCTCATTTGTCACCGTCCTTTTCATTGTCTCAGATAACCTCATAAATCACCTCCCCCCGAAGGCCACTAAAAATGTGCCAGCCAGGCGCAGTCATTTCTAACGATCCTTTTTCTTACTAAGTCTACTGGTTGGCTATAACTTTGACCACCGCATTATAATGAGACCTTCACAAAAAAATTGATATATGCGTCTATGGACAATCGAAATGAGTTTGTGCCTGTCACTATGTCTCTATCTATTTCTCTCCTCCTTACACACACACACTCTCTCTCTCTCTCTCTCTCTCTCTCTATATATATATATATATATATATATATATATATATATATGTGTGTGTGTGTGTGTGTGTCTGTGTATATAGGTAGATCTATTCTCACGCATATATACATATATATTAGCATGTAAAACTTACATTTATACATGCATATATATATATTTAATTCACCCTCTCTCTCTATATATATATATATATATATATGTATATATATATATATATATATTTAATTCTCTCTCTCTCTCTATGCATATATATATATATATATATATATATATATATATATATATATATATATATTTAATTCTCCCTCTCTCTCTCTATGTATATATATATATATATATATATATATATATATATATATATATACATACATACATATATATTTAATTCTCAAAGAGAGAGAGAGAGAGAGAGAGTTAATATAGGGAAAATTTGTCACTTAGCTGATTGATGTTACCTTCAGCAAACCGACAACTGAGTTTTGTTAGGCGGACCTGTCCGTCCACTCTTCAGTGGGTATCAGCAATTTGTTTATATTTTTTCTATTATTTTTTCTCCTTTTTATACATTTGACATTAATGTAAGTTTTTCTGTATGTTTTTGTGTTCGTGTGTGCGTTTGTGCGCGTGCAGCAATGCGCCAGTCTCTGCCGATGTGAGTTCGCGCACGTGCGCCCGCATATATATACAGTGGGTAGCAAAACATAGAAGTAAAATTTAAAACCACTGTTTTGAGAAACATTTATTAACAATAAATAAAATAACCCATATGCAAAAGTATTTAACATCAATGCAAATATTATGCTAGAAGAGACGTGTCATCATGATTCCTACCCATATTGATATGATGTGATATGTCGACCAATGACAGCACTGCACGACACTCAACTGGCTATTAGATAACAGCTCTGAGACACTGCAGCTATTCTGTTGCCACTACTGCAAGAAAATGGTGAAAACAAAAGAATTGTCGAACGACATGCGCAAGAAGATCATAAAGAATCACAAAGATGGTAAAGGGATATAGAAAAATCGCTCAAGATTTGAATTTGCTTGTGAGTACAGTTGGTGCTGTTGTTCAAAAATGGAAAAAATTCGATACTATTGAAAACATTCAAAGGAGTGGTCGTCCCCGTATCTTAAACGAGGCTAATGAGCGATACATTTCCCATACTGTGAAGGAAAATGCATTTTCAACTCGTCGAGAAATTCAAAATGATTTGAAAAATGCCGGAATTGAAGTTAGTAAAGATACAATTAAAAGATCACAGAATCGTGCAGGTCTCACTTCAAGATCACCGAGAAAGACTCCATTACTGAAACGCCGACATGTACAAGCCCGTTTGAATTTTGTAAAGAAATATGAAATTGAATCTAATGATTTCTGGGAGAAAGTAATTTCGTCAAACGAAATGAAAATTGAGCTTTACGGATGAAACATGCGCACTCATGTATGGAGGAAAAAAGGAGCGGAATACGAGCCAGCAAATACCATCCCTACAGTTAAACATGGGGGTGGAAATATTATGATGTGGGGTTGTTTTTCCTCAAATGGAGTAGGAAAAATGAAAATCATCGAAGGAACAATGAATGCTGCAAAATACACTCAAATTTTGTCAACTCAACTCTT